TGCCGCGCTCCTGCCCGCGCCCGGAGGATGGGAAAAACCTCCGGGCAAATCGTTCGCCTCTCCCGATCTCCGCCGGCTCTCCAGCCCTGCTTCACCGGGTTTTGCAGCCTGGGGCTCCGTCTCCTCCTGCCCTTGAAGTCTTCCTCTTTGCAGCACGTTCCCTGCCCGGCCTGTGCCAGAGCTGCAGAGCTGCTCCCCTGCACCCCACATCCCTCCCGCCACCCCTAAGCCAAGCTGCTCCAGCTGCACAGAGGTCCCCAAAAGCACCTTCAGTGGGGACCACGGTTTCCCCTGAGCAACGGCTCCCGCACAACAGAGGCAACTAATTGCTGTCTGTGCCCTCAAAGTAAAAAAGAACCAAAACAGACAAAAACTCAAGATATGTCCCCTCCAAGACAGGTCTGTTGGCTATTTCAGCTCACCAGCAACACATAAGAAGGACTTTTCTTCACAGAGTGCAAGGAGGAGTCATTTCCACAAAGCTTGAGGGAAATAGCACTGACCTGGGGAAGGAGAATGCTGTTATTAGCTCCCCAAGCTCCAGCAAGCACTGCCGCTTTCCTCACACCCAGCTCAGCACTCCAGCCAACTTGCCAAACAGCAGCGGCAATATAAAACACAGGAGAAATCAAAGTCTTCCCCTGCCTAGGTCTGGGCAATTTATTGTTATTTCTTGTTCAGCCACAGAGAGCGGCAGGGTGAAGAGGTGGATGCTGGGCCCATGGTATGCATTCCCCAGGGAGGGTGTAGGGCAGGTGGGGTAAGGCGAGTCCACCTGGCAGCACTGGAAAGGGGTTACCCTCAGTCTGGGAGGAGGAATGTGACCTCTTGGTGGGGGAGAGAGGGTCCCTACAGGACACTCTCAGCAAACCCTCCTTCTGCTGGGGTGAAAGATATTTCCCACCCCAGCAGCCTGCACAGATAGACCGGCAGCAAAGGTCTCTTCTAGAGGTGAGGTCTTCTGGAGATGGAGAGCCCTGCCTCCAGTGCCCTGCTCTGCACCACTGAGTGAGGCAGTGCCAGCAGAGTGACGGTGGTTGGGCAGCTGACCCCATCCCACAGAGCATCACCTCTAAAGCACCAAAAAGCACATCAGGCAGTTTAGGTAGAAAAGAGCAACTGTGAAAATACACCACTTCTTCAATGCTCTTGTGCTTGTGGGGATGTCTGGTGCAGCTGAGGGAGTGCTGCTGGGGCAGCCATACACACGTGGGAGAGAGCTGGCAGCTGCCTCACTGGGACCACGACTATCACAGAAAGTGCCCCAAATAGCACCATGGAGGAGGAGAAGAGGTCACCCCGTTACTCCCGTGTGTTCACCATCGCCTCCTCTCTAAAGAAATCTCCCAAACGTGGAGGCCAGTTTATTCATCTTCCCCAAACACTGTCACCTCAGCTGCCTGCTTCTGTGTTTATCAAAGCCAGGGAAGGTGCTGCTCCACTCCTACCCACCATGCTGGGAAATCCAGAGAAAAGAAGCATCTTATCGGGGCAGGCTGGACAGGACGCAGGCTGCTGGGGTGGGAAGTGCAGTCCACAGCCCTGTGGTAGCTTTCCAACCCAGTGCCTTGAAGATCCAAATCCTATTCACCAGGTAGGAGCCAGCATCCACCCGGAGGCTTGGAAACTGAGGTGCTCCTAGCCAGACTCAAGCTCCAAGGCTTGTCTTGGCTTTATGAAGCACAGTGCCTTTGAGCGGCCACATGCTCGGTTCAGATGGTAAAAGTCTGATTTTTTTTAATCATCTCCCTCTTGTTTCTAGTTACTTGGTGGTGGGGAAAGGGGCTCGGGCAGCAGGACCAGCTGTTGATGACTGCAGAAAGAGAAAGCACAGAGACACAGAACCTGCGGGACACCTCACTGTGGCTAACCCTCAGGAAGACACAGGATCGAGATGGAGAAAGCAACGCTTCTCTCACAGTTCAGAACAAAGGTCAGGTATGAAAAAGGCATCAAATAAATCAATCCATACATGACAGCATTTATTAGTCATTTTTACGCATCACACAGTGGCAGATGCACCCTGAGAGGAGCTGGCTCTGGGACCCTTCTGCCTCCAGCCTGTGGGGCTGGCCCTGGGCTGGGACCATAGGCAATGCCTCACATGCTCTGCAGGGCAGAACTGTGCCTTGCTTAGCTCCCAGGGCCTGAGGCAGTAGCTAGTCAGATTAAATAGACTGTTTAATATCATACAAGAGGCACACTCAGAATAACAGCCATTAGAGTTCATGGGATTTAGTTAATTGCACTACAGAGGAGAAGGGAGAGCCTGGGCAAAGCCCCTCATGTCTCACTGGATAACCCCATCGCCAAGAAGCTCCTTTCAGCTGGATCACTGCTATGGGGAGTAACATTTAAACCTGTGTCTGCCAGTTCAGCATTTACAGCAGATCAGGTAAGGCATTATTTAGGCCATTGCTTGGGCTCAGTTCACAGTCTTGGTGTTGCTTTTCCAGCTTACATGTTTTGTGATCCTGTGAGCAGCGGCTGGGATGTGGCTGCAGGGGCACCACCACTCATCTCCTCACCCAGGGCCCTCCTTAGGAGCTCCAGGGAGCGTGTGACAATTGGGAAGGACTCCACTGAGCCCCTCCTGGAGCTATAGGTCAGAAGATGACCTGACCCCTTCCCATCCTGAGGGGTCCTATGAGTCTCCTGCTACCAGCTCAGCCCAGGCAGACATCAGTGGGGACAGCACTTACTACAGCCCCAGCAGAAGGGAGCTGAGGGAGGGACAGGGACTGAAGATCAAATCACTGCTACACTGGTAAAACCCAAACTGGTGTAAACTAGGGAAGGAATGCATCCTGACAGGGTTTCACCTGCTAGTCAACAAGCTTGAGGCTTACATGCTCTGCTTCCCTGTTTGAGGACACAGGTTACTTTTGGTATTGGAAGACAACACAAGAGGGAAGGTGCCACCCCTCTGGCCTGGGTGGAAAACGGACATGCAGCCAGCTCAGGCTTTACCTACCCTGGGCATGGTGAGCCACGAGTGTCGCACAGCGTGAAATGTCTGTACAGCATCTGGCCACAAAATGCTCTTTAAGTAGCCCCTGTCCCTCTGTGCTACTCCAAACTAAGAGGAGAAGCTGAGGCACAGAAATGGAAGAAAGGACTTGTGCAAGGCCATGGCACAAATGCGTGATGAGGTTGATCCCAGGGCATGACTGCCTTGGCCAACATCCTGTCCTGCTAGTACCAGCATACAGAGCCAGAGCAGGATCTTCATCCTGGCCCAGGACAGAACCAAGAGGGGAACTGGATGAGGTAGGGAATGGTTCCTCCTCTCCTTGTGTTAGCTGAGTGAGCCTAAAACCAGGAAGCATCATACTGGCCAGAAGCAGCCGCTGGTTTGAAGGGGAAGAGCAGCTCTGAAGGAGTTTGGTTCCAGGATGAAAAAGACATTCCTGTTTCCCCTCCCTACACAACCTTAAAAAAGCAGGGATTTTCCAGTTAAGTGCTGTTCCCACTGGCAACCTACCGGGGCTGTCCCACACACAGAGTAGCAGCAGGTTTGGGCTCTGCTCTCCCGCTTATCCCCCAGAACTGGGGTCCATGGAATGGGCAGTGCTGTTTTGAGAGGAGTTTCCCTACGTTTTCCCAAGGAGAGATTTGATGCATGCAGGATCCAAGCAGTCCCTGGGAAGGAGGCGAGACACAAGGCAAACCCAAGTGATGCAGAGAAGAGGAAAAAGCAGAACCATGGCTCCGAGGTCTCCAGCCCCTGGCTACCTCCCGTCTCCTCCTGCTATCAGCCTGCGACAACCTGCACCTCACTCTGGCATACCACCCACTGCAAGGCAGGCACACCAAAGGCCAATGCGCAAGTTAATCTGAAGGCTGTTATCCAGAGTGACCTCCTCCTAACCCCCATCACACCCATCCCATCAGGCACCTGAGCTCCAGACAAGAGTGAAAAGGTTCCCCTTTCCCTCTCCCCCCTCCACCCCAGTCTCTTCTTCCCTCTCTAGTTTTACTCCCCCTTTGATTTCTGGGTGTTGCTCAGATAAGTCTTGAGGAAGAAGTTGCAGAAGAGCACCAGCAGGCTGATATACACAACAGATGAAAGGAAAACAATTGTCCAGGTGGTGTGGCAGACCTTATCCTCCATCCAGAAGATGATCAAGGCATTAATTACTAAAAATGCCAGCATCTGCACCATCTGTGAAATGGTGATTACCACGGCGATGGAGCGGGGTACCTGGAAGCCTGCAGCTCGCACAGCATAGTAGGAGTACATGATAGCATGGATACTGAAGTTCAAGACTGCAAGCCAGCCGCTGCCAGCCACCATTTCCTTATAGCCACACCAGCTGATGACCATCGCAGTAACGTGGTGGTACCAGTGGAGGAAGATGAGCTTATTTTTCCGGAGAACAATGAACACGGTGTCACCTTCAGTTGGGGAAGAAGTGCATTGTTAGTCAGATAAAAGCATAGCAGTTGCACAAGTTTTCATGCGAGGCAGAATGAGCAAGCTGCACTGCTGAAGCCATTGTGTAGCTTAATCCCATCAAAACCTAGGTACCCATCGGAATCATCTGTACCGATAAAGCCCGTGTAGGCACCTACCTGCCAGCACATTTTTGGTACAAGAGCCCCTTGACCCAGGCTTGCTTACCTAGCTCTACTTACACAGCTCAGACCAACTCCTCTGTACTTTTTTGGGTGGAAACTGGGTGGAAAGCCCAGCCCTCCCTGCCTGCCTGCCCCCCTTGCCACAGTCATCCTAGTGCTGAATTGCCTAGTCCAGGCACTGGCCTGGGGATCAAAGCAGAGCAATAACATCAGGCAGCAGTCCCACGAAGAGAGAGCATATTGTCTTGGTTGAGCAACAGGGAGCAAGAAAATGAGTGACACGTGCAAGGCTAGACAGCCCTGTTCTTCAATTAAAATTTGGACAGAGACCTGTAAAAGAAAAACTGCTTGCAAAAGCAAAGGAGTTATGAGCACATGGGATAAGGAGAAGTTTCAGACTCACCCAGTTCCAGGAATTTGGTCAGCACAAATAAACAGACCCAAAGCTTGGAGACAGGGTGGACATAGAAGGACTGACTACACACGGATTGCTTAAATCCCTTGGTAGAGAGGATGAAGGCCATTTGCTTCCAGACCCGATAGGCCCCAATGGCACTGCAAGAAAACAAGAGGAGAGCTGAACACTGTGCCCAGGGCCCCACCAGAGCCTCCGACAGCTCTGCACCCAAGAATATTTAACTAACTCCATCTCAATGCCCAAGGCAGTCTCAGGGACATCTAAACAAACTGTTGTCTTAGACTTCCAAGCAGGTTTCAGCCCCCTGTTTTCTGGGCACAGGTTTGCCCAAGACCTCTTGGCCAGGATTTGAAACACATATTTCTGCAAGACAGAGCAGGGAAGGGCTGCTGCTCACACCAGAACAATAGCAAGGCACAAGGAGTAAGTGGGTTTTGAGCCACCAACATGGCCCTTTGGCTTGCATGGTGCCACATGACAGCTCCTGGAGGATGGCAGCAGCCAAGGTCTGAGAAGCAAAGAACAGTCCTCCTTAGACCCTCTGTTTCCACTGCTTGAAGAGGCACTTAAGAATAAGAGCTGCCACGTCTGGTCAGAAAAGGGGGACAATTTTCCTGGTGTCCCACCTCCTGACAGGAGCCAACAGTGCACACCCAGGGAGCATTTACAGCCTCCTGTGGTAGGCAGTTCCTACGGCTTATGAGAAGAAACACCCTTTTTTCTTTGTTATCAATCTGTAAGTTTCATTTGCATGAGCTTGTCTCCAACTGACCATGAACAGTTATCCCCTTACCACCCCTCTCCCACAACTTGTGATCTTACAGACCACTGCCATGCCCTACCCTCACAGAGGGCAACCAGCGTCCCTTAGATGTGACCAAAGCCAACTTGTGCACCTAGGCAGAGACGCTCCTCTGGAGTTACAGAGGCAGTAGTCTAGTTTTGCTTTCTCCCACCCAACAGACTGAAAAGGAGCGGAGATGAGGACAATGTTGGAAAATTTTTATTCGCTTGTTTAATTACAGAGCAGGGGCTGAATCATTCTCACTGTCACTACAGGAAACCAGTACCGTAAGACTGGACAGTTTGAAAAGAGATATTTTAGACTAATCTTCACATCTTGCATGACTGGGGAAAAAAAATAAAAAACCAGAGCTAGAACTTTGCAGTAGTACCAGGCTGGTTTTAAAAGGTTTCTCTAAAAAATGGGCAGCGAAATAACCCTGTCTTTGTACCATCATTCTCCTGCCATTCCAGCTACTCATACTTTTTTCTTTTTTCCCCTGTATCAAAGTATACTGGAAAGACAACCCAAGGACTGGTGACTGTCAGCAACTTTGATACATTCAACCAGTTTATGCTACCAGCCAGGGAGGACCTCCCAGCCTTTTTCATGCTTTTCTTTAGATTTACATTAAGAAAGATGCCTTTGTGAGTGTACCAGAGTTTTCCCCACCTCCTACACAACAAGATTAGGAAAAGGGGAGGGGGGGGGGGTACGGGGACGACATCATCTCTATTTTTAAGAGTTATAGACCTCAAATCAACCTTACAATTGTGAGGCACCCATGAATGAGGATCTCTGCTCTTGCAAACTTCACATTCAAATCTACCCACTAATGATTTTCAAGCACAGTCCCCAGTGGTCCTTCTGCAACTCATTTGACTTGCTGGAGTATTTCTGGTGGGGAACCAATGGCCAGTATGAGCAGCTCACTTCCCCTTACGGGATAGGGCCTCCAAGGGGAAAAAAAACATTTATTCCCCTAATGACATAGTGGATACCCAGAACTTCCCATCAACCCAGTCCTGAGGGAAGGTCTACAGCTTTTTCTGGCTTTAGCAAAGGCTCTTACCTGAACAAGGCCAGACTGAAGGACCACAGGGTCAGTGGTACACGCAGGTTGTAGGCTCTCCGTTCCTTCATGAAGTGCTGAATTCCAAAGATCACGATCAGATAAGCCATAGCAAAAAAGAAAGACTTGTACCTGTAAGTACAGGAGAGGGAGCAGTCAGGAAAAGACCTAAACTGACCTATTTCCAGCTGGACTTCTGTGGCTCCAGCAGAGCACTCTCACCAAGAAACAAAAGATCTCCTTTTCTTGTGTTAAGGTTGGGCTTGGTCACAAGCAGCCTGCCCTGACAGCAAGCAGAGCTGGTGAGGAAAACCCTGGGGACCACAGAAAAGAAAGCGAGCTGTTACATGGTGGAGATTTCCACAGGATCCTGATGGGACAAGGTGGGATCTGGTAACCTGTGAGCAGGATACCAAGCAAATACATCAATGCATTTTATCCACTTACACATGAGACCCTACAGGCAGAAGATGCTCTTTGCCTAAAGAGGCCAGTTGCACCAGAAAGCCAGAAGCCACATGTTACATCCCACTTCTCTCCAAGGCTTTAGGGCAGCACGGCAGGGCTGAGCTCCCTTTTTGCCGGTGCAAGGGCCACAGTGGCCATCTGTGGGTGCTTCTCATCCTCTTGCCACATCACGACCTCGACCACCGTTTGCTCTGCCTGAGGCCCTGCCACAGCCCTTCCCTGACAGCTGCAGATGGACAGCTGGCACCTGCACCGTCACCGTGACCAGAGCCTCCCAACCTCCTCCTCCTCCTTGGGGCTAAGGACCCCACGCCTGCTTCACTGCCCGATGGGGCTACCCCAGGGTCCGGGATGCACCAGAGCCGCAACCTCCTCTTCCTCTCACCAGTTCTGCTGCATCCATTCCCTAACTTCCTGGACGTTTAACTTCTTCTCAAAGTCGTATTCCCCCAGCGGCTGCAGCTCTGACGGGTCAATGTTCAGCTCCATATCGAGCATCTCCGGGAGCGAGCCGAAACGAGCCGCTTTGCCCACCCTGCACCGGCAGATACAGTCCCGGGAAGAGCTCCGCCCCGGCATCGCACCGGGGAGGGGCGGGACCAGGAGCCGCCCAACCCGATGGGGCGACCGGACTCATCTAATCCAACTCACCCTTCCATCTCCCAAAGGGCGTTTAGAGACTTTTCCTCTTGCAATATGGTGTCTTACATAAAGGAGGTCTTGTTTAACAATTGCTAAAGCATAGGTCAAACAAGCAGGTGTTTTGTACTTGTAGTCCATCAAGCAGCTAACCACTGTACTCCATCTAAAAATGGCAAATCCACAGGGAATATACAGGCAAAGGAGTCAGCAGCAGTGAAACCATTGTCTGGAGCATGGGGAGGGATAAATTTATAAGGTGCCCAACATGGCTTTGCTGCTGAATAATGAGACCGAATGTCAACTTGTGTGCACTAGAAGCTGGAGCAAAAAAATAACCTGCTTGTGTTACTCAGCACATACCTGTGCTGTTGGTGTTCTGCTTGGTGTCACTACTGCCCAAAATGGGGGATGCAAGACAAGTGGTCCGACCTTTCCAGAAAGTTCTTTAACTCATGCTGGATGGCTGCGGAGCTGCAGGGACTGCAGGTGGGAATGGAGATCTTCAAATACTTGTTGCTGTCTACAATTTTTTTGTGTGTGTCTACTGATGCAGTCTTTTTGGGTGGATCTTTCACATGTTGGCTGACCCCTGTTATAAATTCAGTTCTGTAAAAGTCTGTTGCTGAAACAAATATGATGTTTTCTCTGATTGTTTGTAGGTCGTGACCATGCCATTCTGGCTGTAAAACTGCTGTAACCTACAACAGAGCCTTTCTAGGAAGCCTTTGCTTAGCCCAGAGAGCAAGCTTTCCTGTATCTACAAGAATTCCCCTTTGAGAGTAGTTGACCATAGTCAGAGATAAATAGTAAAGGTATTAATAGTTCATAGTTAATAAATTAGAAACACGTCTGCTGATAAGTAGGAAAAGTATATGTTAAAATATACTATTAATGATGAAGGGTGTAATATTGGAAATACTCTTCCTCAGGTGATAGATACGTTAAAGAAATTTGCCATTTTGTGTTACATGGCAGGAATGGTAGAATGAAAAAAAGCCTTATGCTTTTTCCTCAAGTTTTACGGAACTACAGGAAACAGACTCTGAAATCACCAGACCTGATAACCTTGACCCTGCACTTGTGCAGCTTCAGGGCATCTACCCATAGCGTGCTCCACCGTCAACAAGGCTGGATCTGGTAACATTCCCTTTTCAGTGCAGAGAGGAGCCTTTTCATCACCCATACTTCCTTTAAGGATAATTAAGGTCACTGCTGTTAGAGGGAAATTATCCTGGAGTGACCTGTGTGGAGTGGAGGAGTGTAGAAGATGCAGTGATTCCAGTGTAAGCCCTGTGCAGCAGCAAATTAATGGACAGCAATTTCTGCTCTGTCCTTTCATGTCACACACTAGTAAAGGCTTTTCCTCTGAAAACAGTAGTATAACTACCAAAGAATTTTTTTTTTTTTTTTTTTAAACCATGACAGCTAAAGATTGGAGTGCAAGAAAACTCAGCAAAACATTGGAGCTTGTTTCTGCCAAGGATGCAAACAAGAGGGGTAAGGGAAGAACAATGGGAAGGAATCTCTGTGCAGTCCTCGAGTTGCAGTCCTCTGGTCAGGGCTGGACCTCCTGGGAGCTAGGAAGACCGAGGTGAGAGCTGTGCAAGGCACAGTGGGAGTCCGTGCTATGTACAGCATGTATGGCAAAACCACTGCTGTTAAGAAACATATAAGCTGGCCTTTCAGGAGAAACTTGCAAGTGCTCTGGAAAATGGGGAGTGTAAGTCAAAGATGGTGTAAAAATCACCAGGGGATCTTCATTCCCACATGTCAGACTTTTTCCTGGTACAGTCTTCCACTGCTGCCTTGTAGAATACAGAGCAAATGTCTCATCTGGACAGATATTTGCCTCCTGTTTGAAGAGGCAACAGTTAAACAGGCGACTTGTGTGCAGGTGCAGTGATATCTGCATAAGGCAAAACCCTCTGCAAGTCTGTGAGCTTTGTAGGATGTTCCTGTCGGACATGTGTAAAGACATGATAATTGGGTGAAACAACAAATTGAGTGAAGTGATGGAAGGGTGCAATGAGATACGCTGTGTTCAGGGGATTTTCTCTATGTCATAGCCATTTTCACCTGCATGAACTTAAGTACAGGATTTCCCAGAGCCCATCTAAGTCTCCAGCAGCAGTAGCCAGGTGCTTTAGTCCACGGTGAAGACGACACAGCAGCTAACTGCAGCAGGGGTAAGGGTATTTCTGCCTGTTGTTGAGAGTGTTGGAAACACCCTGACTGTCTACTAGGGGGCGGGCCAGACTAGATGGGGCTGGTACCCAGCGGGTGGCAGGACCCACCCTGCATCCTGATGGGGCGACCGGAGCCTCTCTCCTCTGTGCCCACTGAATGGCACCACAGAAAAGGTGCTGATGTCAACATAATTTCATATTCTTAACCTAGTCCTGGGATCAGTAGTGAAATTTTTCATTTTGAAATTGTTTCATGTCACATGAACAAGAACCATGCCTCTCCTAGAGCAGCTCTGTCCTTCCATCTCTAAGGTGGTTGCATGTTCATTTAAGATGCAGGAGCAGCTTGTGACTGCAGCTGTTTGGTACCAGCTGAGCAGGCACCTGGCAGTCCTCCCCAGGTGCCTCCTTGGCAGAAGGGAACAAGAGCAACACGTGCAAAGAACAGAAGCAGACAGCAGGGATGAGGCCCTCAGCATCCTCTGAGGTACCTGGTCACTGGCACTGTGCTCAGAACCACTGTTGGACTCAGGATGGTTTAGAAGCTGACATGCACTGTAGACATCTAAGCGATTTGTAAAGAAACAGCTGAGCTTCTTTCCACCACATCATGGTGAGCTGCATAGAGCTCAGCTGCTGCAGGTGAGGAAGCAGAGCCCCAGCAAAACTTCACACACAACTGTTCTCATTCAGGAACATCAGGGCTGCAATCCTGAATCAGTGGGAGAGAGGGACTTCATCCTTCTGTCCTCCAGACCAGGGGGAGGAGACAGAGACCCTATAGAGCAGAAGGCTCCATCTCTTTAATCTGAGTACATGATGGCTAAGTAAGACCTGAAAGAGAAAGGACAATTTCCTGAGGACTGTGAAAGCAGGCTGCGGATCCTTCTGGAGAGGGTGTTTCCTATTACATTTCTTCTACAGTGTTCCAGAAAGAAATCTTTTTTGAGATAGCCCGAAATACACTGAAAGCTCAAATTGCTATTTGCAACAAGAGTTTCAGTTTTCTGGTGAAGATTCACTTTTTTCACCAGTACACATGGAGGGAAGGCTAGTTTCTGATACGGTGACTGAGCATCACCTGTGGATCAGACTACAAGAAAATTCATTTTTGCCCAAATATCACATTTTATACCCTGAGTCTTAAACAATTCCTTACATAGAATAGTAAGCAACAAATTGACTACTTTGCTGGTACATAGCATGTTTGAGTTCTGCCAAGTCTGAACAGCACATAGGTGTTTGTGAAAGACTCCAGGTATCATCCAGAATGGGTAACAGCATGCCAAATCCTGGTAGGATTCAAAGTGCAGAAAGTGGTTTCTAGGAAGATAGAGTAGGTAATCTCTTTCCTAAGAATCTCACAGCCAAATTAACAAAAAAGCTTTGGGCAAGGTAAACAACAACAACAAGGATCTATGGCTCCTTGGCCTCGCAGATTGATCACTTTTGTAGCAAGTGGCACGAAAGAGACCGTACAGAGCAGTCTGTAGAACTTAAACAGAATGGATCTGTAGGGGTAGACAAGAAAGCAGCTACACCAGCTAGGACAGTAGCAAAATGTTATCAGCATGGGGAACAGGGACAGGGCAATGTGGCCACCAAGGTCTTCACCTGTTCGTTGGGCAGCTGACTCTGTAGCTGTACTGTCACCAATTACCTACCTGCTCCACACAGGTGGGGATGTGGAAACAAGGAGGTAGAGTAACTGATTTTAAAAAAATATATTTTATTTATTTATTTTAATTCCAGGCTGGCCTTAAATAAGAGAGCCCTGATAGTCTCTGCAGGACACGAGAGAGCACACACAAAGCCAGCCTTGCTCAGACAGACCCATGCTGGTCTGAGCTATGCTGCCATCCCCACCAGTGCAGAGGACAGCCAGTTTTCTGCACAGGAGGCAAGGGTGAGCAGGCCAAGATGGCACGTAACCACCTCCAAATCATCTTGTCTTACTGCCTGTGATCATTACTTGTGGTTTACGCACCAGGGCATGGTGGAAGCCATTGAGGGATCTCCTTGCACAAGCACTGCAAGCTTTCATTAAAGGTTAGGATATGCCCTGTTTCCATATGTCCCTCTCGACTGTAGACAATATGATATCCCACATGGGACCTCCTGGTGGCAGCTTCACCACCACACTATGAAAACAAAGAACAATCCTTGTGTTCTTGACCAAAATATCTTTTAACTCTTTTGACGCCAACAGAGGTGGCATGACAGGTAAGCCATAATTTTGTTACATATACTGCAATTTGGTTAAGTAGGTTTAAGAAGTGGGAAGAAATGGGAAGGATAAGGAAACAAACTTTCTCTCCTGGTTGGCTCCCTAACCTTGGAAAGCAACCTAGGTTATATTGCAGCAAAGAACTCAACAGAAGATGCTGGAGGAACTACCCTGGGCAGTTAGGCTTACATTCAGCTAATGCAAAGCTTATGCCCACATAAGTGGTGAAAGACTGGCACAGGTTGCCCAGAGAGGTGGTAGATGCCCCATCCCTGGAAACATTCAAGGTCAGGTTAGACAGGGTTCTGAGCAACCTGATCTAGCTGAAGATGTCCCTGCTCGTTGCAGGGGGGTTGGACTAGATGACCTTTAAAGGTTCTTTCCAACCCAAACTATTCTATGATAATCCCTAGATGCAAAATATGACACAAAATGAGATATTATTTACATTTTCTGACACTTTAAATGTGGACAGCTCTGAAGAGCTTTTTTTAAAAAGGGCAACAAGCAGGTAATGCAACACA